AAGGGCCTTAGGAGTAGCCTCGAAGAAACATTTTTTTGTGACTCTTGTGACAACTGACAGTTCCGCATGCAAAGCTGAAGTTCCTGTTGTCTGACCAATGCCGGGGTGGAGTCAAAACCATGGTTTGTACTTTTAAAGGTGTGACATGTGTGGTACCTTTTGAATGGTCCGTGCTGCTTTTTGATTGTACAAAATTTTCTTCAAAGGTTTTGATTTCTTTTGTTTTTTCTGCAACTAATAAGTAAAATTATTTGTTGCAAATGATATTTGCAAATCCTGTAATCTGAGTGATTTTGTCAGGACAACCCAATGCAAGACAGTACAATTGCAAGAGGCTAATGCAGGATTCAACAATGTAAGCAGAGTATCCCAATTAGCGGCAAGTGTCGCAGTAACGTCTCTTGCAATCTGCTCTTGAGGCTGTTACACACGCCTCAATTACCACGATGCCTACTTGAGTGCTATTGAGCTCGAATCCCCTTTCATGTGTGCGAATGGCCTACATAGCGTGCACAAGCATGGAGTGTGGTTTGTGGCCAACCCTCATGTACACTCACGATGGTGCTGCTATTCGGTCTGCTGCTATGCCTTTGTGCGTGCCTCAGGGTACAGCACCACTTCTCATGTCTCCAAGCATTTCGCTTCCATTTTAAGAGCATGATTAAAAAGAAGTACCTTTGGTTTTTCAGACCTACCGCACTTTGGTAAAAAAGTGATCTCTTGCACTCGTATTTTTCTATCTCAAAAGCTTTTATTCCATGATGTTCAGTTTTGCCACTTTCAGGTTGTGACGCCGTAGTCTCCTAGTTTTTCCAATCAAAACACGAAGAAAATGGCTGAAAATATAACATTTTAACCGACATAGAGGTAGGGGCTATCAAATAGTTGGGAATGATGACTCATATGAAGTGCCAGTAATTAAAAATTCGGAAGTAATATAAGGGTAATATTAGATTGGGATGTTTCTGCTTCTCTCTGCAACCACAGTATGTGTTGGGCATTATTAGAGAGATGCGGTAGATAAAGCACATTTGTCCTGTGAAGTCCAGAATTTGACAGCAGCTTCAGCGACCTGAGTGACTGGCTGATAGGCGATTCAGTCTGTAGTCTGTGATGATTCATTTGCGATTCAAAGATTCCGGTGATGCTAGTATGGGGGTGAATGGCTACTGTGTGCTGAGTTGGCGGTGGCAGAAGCACTTTGACGAAGAAGACAAGCAGATGTAGTGCACAACAGTCGATGAGGGTGCTCACTTTAACTCGCTTCTCCTTTGCTATTTATTACTAAACGGTGCCTATGTTCGTGAGATTGGATTCTGATGGGTTGTCGCTTAAAGTGATGTAAATTCAAGGACTTCCATATGCACATATTCGGTTGTCGACGAGATGAGTAAGCTAGGTGGCAGTTGGGGGCACTAAATGCATTGAAATAAAGAACAAAAAAACTCGGTTTTATTTCTTGAAGTGCACAGATTGCAGTTTCATATTCTTTTAGCGTCTGCGGGACAGTGATAAGCTGCCAGTAAACGATTGTTGCACAAGCATATTCAAGGCTATTTTAAAATTGATCGTGTTCAACCGAATCATATACAAGCGAAATATGTGCTACTACCACCTCTAGCAACCTAGGCAGATATCGCCGTGTATTACTCATGCACTTAAAATATTGCAGTGCCTCTACTTTACTTCTTTTCTTTTTTAG